GCGTAGTTAGAGGAGTTGAAAATGTCAATAGTTGCCAAAAAAAAGAAACAATTTTAAAAAACATCAGTTGCTCTGGAGCACTTTTTTATGAGGAGTCCAACTTGAAACGTTGCTTGGCAGCAGGATTTGGACAGGCCCGTGCTCTAACTGTGCCACCTCCGTTGCTCTCATGCTTCTTTAAACACGATACGCTGCCACTGATCTGGAGGAGGGGAGGGGGAAAAGATCTTCAGTTACCTCACCTGCCAGTCCTCGAATTTATTTCCTGTTTCTGTAACGCAGATTTGTTATCTTGAGCCCGTCCTTAATGGCGCATTCCAACTTCCTGAGTTACAGGACCACTCATTGCTCCAAAATCACCTCTTAAGCTGATTACTATGCATTTCCAATAAGAGCGATACTGTCTTTTAATAACACTGCTGACTGTGCAGGCAATCTATCAGTGTCAACAAAGAAGCAGACTTAAAGCACTCGAAGGCGAGAGTAATTCAGAATGAAAAGAACTTGGTGATTGCTTTTACACCCTGCAGTGAACTACAGGAAATGTCTCTAATATTTTCATGGGGGACCTACGTGCGCCTGTGATATTTAATGAAAAACGGCCTTACACAATATTTTATTCCTCTTACGTCAGTACCCAGCTTTCCTTGCCTCGTGCCTCAGAGCAATAGTTTGTGTCACTCTTCTGTCTTTACTCAAAAGAGAAAATGTTTGTGTCCTCTCTGTACGCACGGAGAAAACAAGAGGGATTTCTTTTCCCTTTATGTTGTTTTATTTGGAGGATTTTTAAAGATTAGCAGAATGGCGTGACGTATGGTGAAGACTCTGGGCTGCTGGTTGGCTAGCGTGTTTCTGTGTGGGAGGTTTCCGAATCACTCCGGTCTCACACTCTGAAGGCATGCATGCTATTTTAATTGGTGATTCTAAATTGGCCATAGGTGTGGTCCTCCGCTCGACATTAAACACTAACAATACAGTGTCAAATCAAGTCAACTTTAATTGTATAGCACATTTAAAAGACATAGGGTGCCAGCCAAAGTGCTAAACAGACGTTCCTTACAGTAATACAGAGAAACTCCCAAATGACCCCCTATGAACAAGTACTTGGCAACAGTGGGAAGGAAAAACTTCCTTTTAACAAAGAGAAACCTCTGGCAAAACCAGACTCAGGGAGGGGCTACCATCTGCCTGTGGTTGGTTTGGGGGTTCTGATTGGTTTACCCTAGCCTAGCAAAAAGAAACTTGGAACATTAGCTGGGCGGAGCTTCCTGAGATGACCTTACCATGACCTTGGTCATGTTTTATATGAACTTAGAGGTAAATGTAGGGAAAAGCATAACTTTAATGGAAGACAGTTTGAATTTGCACGATGGGAAGTTTGTAGATTTACTTCAAATAAGAGACCAAACTGTCTAAAAAGGGTCATTATCTTTTAAATATGACACTTCCAGGTCTCCCAGTGTAATGGAAGCAGAGTTAGGATTGATTGGAGCTGTCTGAATGGAGTTGGGGAGATTTGGAGATGCCGAATCATGGAACAGGAACAATCGTGCATATATGTGATATGCTGGACCGTGTTCTCTGAGCTTTTGTTGCATGCATGCTGTACAGAGAAGACAGAGAAGCAGGCAGAGGAACTGAATTAAAACACACCCATTTTACTACACCCCCCCTCCCTCCACCCCATTCTCATTCACTCAGCGCTATCTGACGCCGTCCCTCTCTCCTCTCAAAAATCCTCTCTTTTTTTCCCTACAGAAAACATGCAGGGAGGAGAGGAGGAGGAGAGAAGAAGAAGAAAAAACGCGTCGGAGGCGACAAGGGAGAGAGAGAGAGAGAGAGAGAGGAAGCAGAGAAAGTTGGTAGTGGAACGAGAGGGAGAGGAGAGAGGGGTCGACCAGATGGAAGGAAGGAAGGAAGGAAAGGATCTCAAGGGCTCAAGTGCGTGATTAAAGGATTCTGCACAAATAAACAAATATATGAATCAAAGCTTATGATTTAAAAAAAAAAGTGGAATTATAGGCGCGTCACCGCTTTGCGTGGACGCGGACAAGACACAGCGGCGGTGCGCACTGAAACAACCCGAGTCCTGTCTTTAGTCTGGATTTTACTCCTCATGTTCTTCAAACTCTCGGAGAGGCTCGCTAACTTTTAAGGACAGTGCCTGACTTTTAAGAACCTCCCTCCCTTCCTCGCTCGGTGTTTCAATTAACCCTCTCCCCGGAAAAAGAAGAAGAAGAAGAACAGTAAAAGAAGCTCTGGGGCTGGAAGTGCAGGAAGGAAGAGCCTTCTGTTCCTTCCGAGGAGTTCCAAGTCGCCGTAGCCGGGGTTTAGGCGTTGGCACCCGGGCTGGGAGTCCCTCGTCATGGCCGGGGCCAAGCCGGGAGTCCACGCGCTGCAGCTGAAACCCGTGGCCGTCCACGAAGCGCTGAAGATGGGCGGCAAATTCGTCAAGTGGGACGAGGTGAGAATGAAATGTCTGAAAGTTTCCTTCAGAGCAAACGCAT